TTAATCTGGCAGCCAGCTTCTTATTACAGCGTTCTGGTCAATTCAGTTTAATAAAAGATTATGGAACCTCATTATTAAAAGTGTAATGTATTCAATTTTTTTAAGACTCTTGAGTATATCTCCCTAAATATTTTTAAATGTATGCTAACATACAGGAAGAAAGGCTACTTCAGCAATGGATAGGGGAAAATAAAGTGTGTGGGAGCTAGAATTTTAATACCCCATAAAGCTCTTATTATCATTGCTTATTTTTAAAAAAAGTATCAATTTTCTAATGTGATGGGATAATAAATTGTACTTCATCTTTTCAGAGCCAACTTGAAAGGTGGTCTTTGACATCTTCTTGCCTCCTTCTCTTTACCCTTGATTGACACCTGTTTCCCCTCCCAGAAGTGTCCCTTTCTTTCATACTGTCCTTTAGCTCCTTAGTCCTCAGTTGGGTGAACCACTTCCAGTCTCAACCCTGCTTCACACTCCAAAATTGTCTTAACTTTCTTTTCCCTTCCTCTCCAGTGAAAGTCATCTTTTCCTTAATGAAATTGATCTGTTTGTGATTAAGAAGGAAGTACGGCAAGTAAGTTAATTCACAGTAAGAAATTCATGATGAATTACCTTTCCTACTGTTACTTATATTTTAAAAGAAGAAATTTTTTTTCACCCTCATACACCAGTAGGAATATTCATATTTACAGCCTGCCTGGAAAGGCAGGAAACTCTGGCAACATCTACCAAGGGTTGTAAAAAATTGTTCTCATAATTTCCCCAGTAATTTCATTTTAAGAATTCAATTCTAAGAAAATAACCAGAAATAAACACTTGTATACAGAGATGTTGATCAGAATGATATGTTTAATAGCCAAAAAAAGTGAATTATGTCATGAATATAAATGATAAATATAGTGACAGTATAATGAGTTGGGAAAGCAGAAAAAAGGGATGAGAAGGATAGCCAAGCACTCACTGCCCACTTCAGATGTCTGTGGGTGCTCTGAGGGTCCCAAGCCTTGGGCTACAACAGAATCAGCGTGGAGTCAGGCAGGGGTCATGTCTGTCTAAAAGCTAAAGGATTTTCAGGGATTTAAAATGGGAGAAAAGCAACTAAATAAAGGTTCAGTATAAATTATAAAGGTGTTTTTCTGCTTAAACCTTGCAAAATACCCAAAGTTTAATAAAGCAGGGTTGAGTACAAAGCATTGGTAGGTTACGAGTATGGGCTTCAGATGACATACTATGTCCTAAATCAGCTGTGTGACTTTGGGCAGGTTATTTAATCTCTCTAAACTTCAGTTTACACATCTTAAAATGTGATAATTACATTAACCTTATAAGATTGTCTTAGAGATTCAAGAACATAATTCATATAAAGTGACTCATATCTCATATAACAAGATGTGTACTCAAATGTTACTTTTTATTATCGTTATTGATTTAGCGAGGAAGATAGTTAATTATCAACAGATCACAATGTTAAGATTCTAATTTTAAGATAACTTTTGAGGTTATCTGATTTTTCAGAGAATTAAGTTATATGTTGTTAGGAAAATAATCAGTTTGTTGAAAAGCATTTTAGATTTTGTAGCTACAGACATATTTAATTCTGTTAGGTGAGAAGCTATATGCACGTCACTCCAAGTAAATGTTCAGAGTTGGTGTGCATGGTACCTACAAGGAAATAACACTTCTAAACTTTTAACCTTATAAACACAGTCCATAAAGTTACAGTAGAAGTCTCAGAGCCCCAAAAACTTTTTGCAGGATAATTTTCGTAAGTCCTTTCTTGTCCTGGCTAGATGGATAGGCACTAAATGACTTATCCTAAAATGAATAAGCTAATAGCAAGTTTGGGAATGCTTTCACTGGACTTGCCTCTTGTTTTAAGGAGGCCAAGTCTCTCTCTGGATAGAGTGCATGAAATAACAATTGATATGTTGTTATAATTTTTTTTCCAAAGGATTTGTTTCCTTTCTAATTAAGGGGTTTTAAAGGAGTTAGCATAATATAACCTGATAGGTTTTACGTGTGTTAAATATAAAAACTCATTAACCTATTTTAGTTGAATTATTGGCAAACGGTAAAATTAATTGAGAATGACAGTCTAACGGCTTTTGCATTGATCTTTTGAAATTAGGTTCATTAATGACACTCATTGTCTTGTAATAATTTCTTACAAGTTGTCAGTGAATTCAAAAATAGTTTTATAAGCCTCCACACAAGGTTCTATGGGGAATATTAGCAATATTTCGCTTACTCTAGTGACCTTTGACGCGAGGTGGTGTGACTGTAGCATCGACGTTTCTAGAGATTGTTCGGAAGTGCCAAGGTGAGAATTTGCTTTGTGTTCGTCTCTGTGCCCGGTGCTTTCTGGGCATTATACAGGGCATCTCAACGGCACTGTTAGTTTGCCTGCTAGGTCCGTTACAGATAAGGAAAAGGGAGTTCGCAGAGATTTTTTTAAAGGCCGGTAACTTTTCCCTCATATTAAATTCCTCAAACATGTACAGAGTTTGGTGGTTAAAATCACAAAAACTATTTGTGGGCTTGGAACGGGGATTGGTTGATAAACTACAGCCCACAGGCCAAATCTCGTCCGCTGTCTGCTTTTGTATAGCTGGCAACCTAAGAATGGTTTTTACTGTATTAAATGGTTGGGAAAAAAATCAAAAGAATAATAATATTTCATAACGTGAAATTCACATTTCAGTTTTTGTGGAACACAGCCATTCCTACTCATTTTTTTTTGTCTGTAGATGTTTCCATGATACAAAGGGAGAGCTGAGTAGTTGGGACAGAGGCCCTTTGGCCCGCAAAGCCTAAAAGAATTACTATCTGGCCCTTTACAGAAAAACTTTGCTGATGCCGGGTCTAGAGTGGTAATTTATCTCAGGCTTTTATAAATGACTTTATTCATTATTGAATGCTTACTACTTGCTGTGTCCTGTGTTGGGTTCTTGTATGCAGATGCAATAATGAGCAAAGGGACATAGTGGGTACCTTCATGGAGCTTACAGCTTAAAGCTAATATTTTGATTAATATTTTAATAGTCATAAGGTAGATGTAATAATAGTTATTTGGTCATTAATAAAATATTGTAATATTTGTAAGGTAGACTATTAATAATTTAACTAATAATAAAATTATTTGGTTAACTAAGCTAATAATGAAGTTATTTGGTTAATCTGAGTATTTACCATAACCCTTACTTGAACGTTTTTTCTTTTTAAAATATACCACACTGAACATAAACCTTTGCTCTTTAGATGACTTGTGATTTTACTGAGATTAGGATATATATCATGAGAATATATTTTTGTGTTTGTTATAGCTATAGATGCCGGCACTATTGGAAATTAATTTGAACTATTACCATTCCAGGACATGTTCTGAAAACTGTTTATTGCTAAATTTTACTAAGTTCCTGATATCAGTTTGTTTCCTTGTCGTTTTTCTTTCTATTGAGAAATAATGACTCATTAAAAAAATACTGTGAATTATTTATGTAGTACTTTATACTGCTATATTTGTTAAGCCTCAATGGTACATTTGTATTTCACTTTACCTGATTGGATGTTCACTTTGTTAACATTAATGTATTGTTGAATTTTAGTTTATATAATTGCATATGAAGCACTAATATTTGTCACCATTTTAAGAATCTGTATTAATCATACTTTAAAATAAGTGTTACATAGTTTCCTAATGGCAGCAGGTAGCATAATGCCTGAAAAAATAACGTCATTGTTGCTTTTCTGAGTTAGACTCATAGTCTGATTTATCCACATTAATATTTCAGAGAAACGTAGCATTAGTCCCATGAGGAGAGAAATGGTTTTAATCCATCCATCATTTATCTATCCATCAAACTTCTGTAGACTGCTTGGTATGTGCTGGTATTGTCTTAGCAACTGAAACGCAGTGGTCAGTTTCCCTGTACTCAAGGAACAGTGAGTCTTCTCTTGCCGAAGATCCTGTGGTTCCAAAGCCATAGGCAAGGATTTGCCAGACGTGAATTTTTGCCTGTGTGTGTGCGTGCGCGCGCGTGCGCGTGCAATTTGTTCCACTTTGGTTAATTTGCTCCGTTAGTTAATTTGGTTAATTTGCTTTCTCATCCTTGAAAACTCTTTGAATGGCAACTTTATATACTAGATTATATTTAACTTTCACTTACTCAGCTGTTTGTCAGAGACCTTGCATTGTTTTATTCCTGAATTAAGAAGTCGGAAGTCCCCTCGTGCTCTGGTTTTTCATACCTTTGCTTCTGTAAGACATTGGAGAGAAAGGTGTCATTTCAAAAATATCGTTTCTTGCACCACCTCAGTTCACTAGTGCCAACAAGCTGGCACTTTTGTGGCACTCTATTTATAAATATTTTTCAGTGTTTTTCACTAGTTATCTGTTGTAGAAAAGGCAAAGAACTTACAAATTCACTTCATTTTGTCCAAAAGGTAATCCAAGAGACATATTTACACAGGCATCTCTCTTCCTGCTTCTTTTTACATGAGGAAAAAAGGGTGCTGTAAAGGAATTTTATAGGACATCTAACTTGATTTTACTTAAAATGTAGTTTATCATTAGGTCAGTATTAGTTTTTCTGTCGTGTGGGTAAACTTAGGAAGTCTGCTCGAAGAAACTCAAAGTTTTTTAGAAATAGTTTAATTTCAGGTAATTTCACTGTGAATATATTTTATAATACTTGTACCTGAGTCCTTATGCTAATCTTGAATGTCATCACAGCAGTGATTTTTAAGGACCATTAATGTAGCATAATCTGTACTTTTTTGGGTAAAATGGTTGTCGTAATCAGATCGTTATTGTGATAGTCTAACATCATTGCTGAGATATCCTGTTATGTGAAATAATAAAGATAATGAGAATGATTCTAATGATCAAGGTATAATACAGGCATGACAGGATATGTCTGATACTTTACTTTTATAGCTCTTGATCTTGTTCCGAGGCTGACATCATTACTTATTCCTACCTTTTATCTTATTTAACACAGGGATGTGAAATTATTTCAACTCCTGATCAGTACCATACTGACTTTACCAAGTGCCTTGAAGTGCTCCAAAATAAGATAGAAGAAAAAGGCCTACAGGTAAGATAGGCGCCTATTTGGTGAAGAGTCTCATACCAAGGATGTGAACAATCCTGTTTTTACTTATCTGAAATCATTATTTGCTTTTGTGCTGCTTATCTGGATTCCCTTGTCAGGTTTTTCCAGTATATGAATAAATCTGCACTTAGTTGTCAAAACATTAACGTGTGCACTTGAATCAGAGGTCACAGATTCCAGAACCTTACTGTGATGAGGTCCCCAAATGGGTGAAGTGGACCTTGTACAAAGCAAACAAAACTGGCAGCTCATTCTCAGCCTAAAGGGAGTAGCTGCTTTCTATCTCAGGTTGGTTGCTGCTCTGAAGAGCTGTGTGTGTTTGTGTTTGTGTGTTTATATATGATGTAGGCAAGACAAACAAGGAAATATGGCCTAGATTTGGCCAACATTGCAAACTCTTATATAAACAAATAAAATATTACTATTTTTTTAAATGAGAAAAGAGTCTGCTGCTTTGTACATGTGGACTCTTTAAGGTGTTCAGTAGTGATTTTCACCTAGCACCCAAGTGTATAATCACATCAATTAGCTAATGCACAAATTTGTATGTTTTTATATTAGACAATTTTTTTGGATACTTGTTGAAATGATATGCAAACTTTTTAAAGTCTGTATTCCATGAAGATCCATGAAATTAAACCTGAAGCAGTGAATGACAATTGACCATTATTTTCCTGGGAAGGGCAGGAAGGTAAGCTGAGATCCATGATCCAATGTGTCATTTTTAAACTAAGAAAACTAGGAAAACACCTTTGTACGTTAGGATGGTTTTCACAGTACAAGTAACAGGAGACGTGTTTCAGCCTTTCCTCAGTAATCGAACGGGGTAGGGCCGACTTCAGACACAGAGCAGTCAGATCTCATGTCTGCTTCTTCCATTGTCTTGGCTCTGCTGTGTAAGCTTTCTCTTCAGTCTGGTTTCCCTGACTGTCTGCAATGGCTGCTTATAGCAATTGTTTTTACATTGTTACGTCTAGAGGGATTGAGGGGCAGGGTCATCACTTCCCACCGTCATGAGACCTAAGTCCTGAAATCTCTCCGTTAACCACCACTTGGTTTTGGCGAAGGATGATGAGAATAACCTGATTGTCTTGGACTGGAGCAGGGAGTGGGGGGTCGATCCACATGTCTCATACAGTCCAACTACATGCCTAATACATGTGTGGCGGGATGGCATAGGCAGTGGAGATGCACCCCTAATAAAAACTTACTCCTTCGCAGAAGTTATGAAAGATTTATTCTAATGTATATTATTAAGTTGAGGCAGTAGATCCTTTTCTCCCTTTGAAGGAAAGCCTTGTTAACTATTATAATTGACAAGTAGCTCACTCTGCAAACTCAATAAATGTAATTGAACGAACATTTCTCATCTCCGTTGTAGCTTGAGCTGTACCTAATGTGCTACTTCCAGCAATCAATTGTGGTAATAATATATTTGTTTAAGGAAACAGAAGACAACCTATTGAGAGTTATCTGCTTCATCCCGACATAGCTGATGTTGAGTTTCTTAGAAAAAAATTGTAAATCTTCACAACTGTTTCAATTTTCCTAGTACTTCCACTGAGTGTATTGAAAGCTGGGAATGAAATTCTTTGAGTGTCATTTGTTGTGTCAAATTGATAGTATCTCTAATACAGTATTCAGTCATTGAATCTCAAAACAAACCATCGTATCTCAAACTCAACAAGGCCAAAATCCAGAGAGAGCGTCAAACTGGGGGAAGAGGATAATCAGGTGTATATAATCTGTGAAACAAATTGGACAAAGTCTTGGCTGAGCCAGTGGAGGCCTGGAGCGAGAGGACCTATTAGAGGACTCCTGCATTGGGCAGAAAGGGCCTCACACTCCTGCTCCCACCGTGCTTAGTCATAGGCTGGAGGCTGCCAGGGATGTGCATGGCCCTGGTGGCAGGCTGTGCTGTGTCATGAAGGGGTTGCCGCTGGGCCGGGATAGCCAGCTGCCCTCCTCTCAGCCCAGTAGTGAGGTCTTTGTGGAGAGAATGGGAGCTGGGCACCTCCATGGTTGGCATGTTTTGGGTCCAGTGCATTCTCCAGCCTCATCTTGAGCCCCCTTTCTCCTTGTTCCCAAAATATGCCAGATTCCCTCCTCTCCTTTGCCTTAAGGTGTTTTTTGTATATATGTTGCCCCCTCTCTCTAGAATGTTGTGAATATATTTTGATTTTTCTTTTTTTTTTGTATTTTTCCTTGTCTTTGCCAAGGCCATGATGGCAGAGTATGCCTGACGTCCTCAAGGGGGTCTTTCCTCCACCCTAGCTCTGGATTAGGCTCTGCGGCTCTACATTTCTATGCCTCCCTCTTTTCTCCTTTACGATACTCTGAACACTGCTAATAATTGTGTTAATTGTGTATATCTAATTGTTTGCTTAAGGCCTTTCTTCCCAGCTTGACTGTGTAGCCCATTAGGCTGGGATCAGGTCTGTCTTGTTCACGACTGTACGGTAGCACTGTGCGTATAAGAGATGCTCGGGGAACTTACAGGAGAGCAGGAGATGATGCAGTTAGGGGAGAGGTTTTTTAGAGAAGGCTGAGACTTGAGAAACAAATAGAAGTTAGATGGCAAAGGGGAGAAGATGGTGGCCAAGTATGGCAGTCCACAGGGAAGATGGCTAACACTTCAGTGAACCAACAGCAGATGGTTTGAAGAGCTTTATGACAGAGAACAGTGTGGTTACTTGGTGTTTGAAGAAGCATGGTTAGGTCAACTGAATTCATTACTAACAAAACCATCCAGATTAGCTCTTGTTCAGACTGAAAAAGATGGTTATGTTAAATCTGAGGACTATCTGTGAGCTTCCACCTGACTTTATGTTTAACCTGGGAGCACAACATTGTCTTTGGTTTAACATAATAGCAGGAGAAAAGCAAGATTAGAAAGATTGGAAAGGAAAATCATAAAAGATTCCCCTCCACACATTCTCCTACCCTCAAGTGGGATCATCATGAGGGCTTCTACAAATTTCTTCCTGAAATACACATAAACTATGTCAGAAAATCCTTTATACTTCTCTACCTAATAAATCTTACAAAATTATCATACATTTCTTGTTTTCCACTTATTAAATTATAAACATGAATTTGTATTCAAAGTGTCTATATTTTTTAGTAAGATCTTATCTTTTTAGCATATACTTTAAAACATTAACTCTAGTATAAATGAATTAAAGTAGTATTTAATATGTTAAGGAACCATACTGTGTAACATATTAGAACTTTATAGAATTTGGATTAGGGTCTGTCATTATCCTAAAGGAGTTAACTGTCTAGAATATGAGGTTAATTATAAAAGAAAAGATTTCCCTAAATTACCTTATTTATTATTTATCTGTTTTAAACCTGTTCCTCCTCTACTTTTAATTCCTCTGCAAAAAGGTTCTGATACATGTGACTTTTTAATGCTTTGCTTTTATGTTGCCACATTGTTTATCTGTGACTGAGTCATGAATAATAAATTTATCAGGATGCCATCCGATATGACTGAATCTTCAAAGAGCACATATATATTCTGATGCTGTAATACATGTTTGCGATCTAAACCCTGGAATTCAGTGGAAAACATTAAAAGCTATTGCTCCAAATTTCAAAAAATGTAAGATGTACATTGTTTAGGATGAAGCAGGAAGAAATCTAGATTATAAGGCCCTAAGAATAACAGGTCTCCTAAAATACAGATTAGGGTATTTCCTAGAATTATATGGCAATAGAATCAGTTACTTCAGTTTCTGATGTTTTAAACAGACTTTATGTTGGGCAAAATTTGGGCAGAAAAGTTGATGTTAATTTCAAACTGTATATTGTATAGATTTAAACTCATACTAGTTTTATTTGCTAAAACCTCAATACATTTTAGCCCATTTATACTGTGTTATTTTTTTGTAAACAGTTTTTTAATCAAATGCTGCAGGATGCTGAGTATTATATAAATAAGAGCAAATGTGTAAGTTTTATACACACAAATATTAATGACTACAAATTAAATATCACATAAAGACTGTAGGACTGATCAGTTAACCCAAGAGGACAGAGTAGAAAGACCTCCTCTCGGGCACACCAAAATTACAACTATTTACAGAACAACTATCAGAGAAATAGATTGAAACCTACCAGAAAAGATCTTATACAATAAAGCCATAAAGAAGGAACCATAACAAGATGGGTAGGAGGGGCGGAGTCATGGTATAGTCAAGACTCTTACCCCCAGGTGGGCGACCCACAAATGGGAGAATAATTACAACTACAGAGGTTCTCCCCAAGGAGCAAGGGGTCTGAGCCCCACATCGGGCTCTCTATCCCGGGGATCCTGTGCCCAGAAGATGAGCCCTCAGGATTTTTGGCTTCAACAGCCAGTGGGGCTTACTTTCAGGAGACCAAAAGGACCAAGTGGGGAGATAGAGACTCCATTCTTAAAGGCACCCAGGGGAGAAGTAGTCATTTGAAAGGTGTCTGGGTCAGACCTACCTGCTGATCTTGGAGAGTTTTAGACTATTGATATCTACTGATTATCAGTATTGGACATGATTGGTTTGTAATGGACTAATGACTTTTCTGTGTTCATACTAAGTATCTGTTGCTGCTCATCAAATTTAAGACTGGCTGTATCTGATTGGGCTAATTACTTTATCAATATAATAAGGTATCCCTAGGGTTGCTGGAAGAACTATGATAGTACTGTGAGAAGTATTTTCCAAGGTACTCTGATGTCTTCAATACAGTCCGCTCTGATGAGCTGGTATCTTTGGCAAGATTCCAGTCTTATCTAAAGCAAAACGTAATAAATCTGTCGTGTGTGTACACGTGTGCTCTGGAAAGGAATAAATACTATCTTTACATTAGAGAAACCTAGCAGATACCACCTTAATCAAGGAATCATAATTAACATCATCAGTGATAATTCATGTTAGTAGTACACGCCCCTCTCTCTAGGTACAGGGTGAGAAGGGCACTTGCGGTGTACTTCCCTAAAA